GTGAATGAACGAACTTATTTATTTTCTGTCTAAGACAACAGGTAGAGTGTAAAACATCAATATGATGTCCATGTGAAATCTATATTTAACTCTCAGTTTGACGGCGAAAAGTAACGAACCATTGGAGTCAGATATGCTGGAAAAGATGTAGATCATGTCGTTAAATGTCGTTAGATGTTAACACGTCGGTGTGAAATTTTTTCGGTTATGTCGGAATAATATAATGTAGTCGGAGTCTCTACTGATTTATTGAAGATTATACACTGAATAGTTTTCGTTTGCTTCAGAGTTAATTTAAGTTTCAATTTAGCAGTTACAAAGATAGCATATAGTGAGAAATAAGGACGGCCACGGGTAGTGAGTGGCGAAGAATGTTGGAAGAAACGTCAGTTTTTCACACATTACACATGAACCGACTAATTTACAAGTTAAAGTGTCATTTAAACCTTTTATCTCTAATGATAAGTATATGTACCACTTTCTTTAACGATCAGTAGCTCTGCATTTTGTGTTTATGGATTTCGTGTGATCCTCAGTGTAAACAGGGATTATTGCATTAAACAAACAGCATGAACATATTGATCTCTGCAGTGGAGAAATGTTCTCTTTGAGGTACGGGCCGAATTCTTAAATGACGATCTTAGATTTGAAAGGGCTTATGGTATTATGACGATCATTCACCTTTATCTCAAAGAGGTCTTCCGAATAAAATTATATACACAAATATATATTTTTATAAAATAATGTTAAATAGTGCACATTTAAATTTTACAAAATATGAAACCAGCGTTAAAAACAACAGTGCGACATCGAATTGGATGACAGAAACAAAATAAGAACAGAAGTGGAAAAAATTAGTAGTTTTGAGGTGCCTAGCTGAATATTTATAGATTTAAAAAGAGACACCGAAAGTGGCTAGTGAATTTATATCTCTCCTGTCTTCGTATTCCGGGGGAAGGGGCCACGGGTTCAAATGTCCGTCCGGACCCCGACTATCCTGTCTGATGTTCTCTGTGGTTTTCGTAGGTCCCTCCAGGAAGAGGCTGGGATATTAATTTAAATTAAGCCACGTTCGTTTCCTCCCACATTATTTTCAATTCGTTCTTCACGAATAATCGTATCATTCGACTTTGAACTCGCAAGTATTGACAGCGTTGAGTAAACCACAAATAAACAAATCATAAATAAATGAATACTCAAATGTACTTGAACTCTCGGGTTCCATAAAAGATGGGGGACTTTTTGATAAGTGCCCATTAGCTTCTCAAAATGACTTTAAATTGCTACAAAGAGAGAGAACGGATAACTGTAAATGGGCGAAGACAAGTGGTTGCCGTTAATGTGGAATTATAAATCTGCTGGACGAAGACAAGAAGAATACAAAGACTGGGGAAAGAGGATAGTAAAGGGAGGAGAAGAAATGTAATTATTCTTCAGCCACGTTTTGTAAATTTTACCCCTAGGAAAAGCCTACGAATGTATGAAGGTGCATGTTCATCAGTTTATACGTGTTAAATTATGCCGCTGTGTGAAAAGGAGTATTACTCACCGTGGTGTGGACAGCGCTGGGCGGTCTCACGCACATGTTCACTGCACTAAACCACCATCATGTGTGCCCGCACGTCACTACTCGACTGCCTTTCGAAGGCCACTGTTTCGTTGAGGATCTTCTCGTCTGGAGGCGCCACCGTGACCCACTTCGTGCACAGCACGAGGATGCCGCGAAAAGATGGATGAATTTTACGTGTGATAAAAGTAATGGTACATTATTTAGTGAATGATGTGTTTATCTTGCTCAAGAAGATGCTGTCACCAAAGACCAGTTCAATCAGAGGATCAAATTTCGTGTGAAGTAATTTTTATCTTGCTCCAGAAGTTGCTGTCAGTAAAGATCAGCTGAATTAAGGGGCCAGTCTTAATGGTGCATAGGTTATCTGGATACGGATTACTTTTGTTTTTACCCAGAAGATTCTGTCAGCAAAGACCAAGAGGTTTAGGAAGGTTTGTCACATTGATACTTAAGGTAATCTGGTGTAAGCTTACCTTTATTTTGCTCCAGAAGATACCAGCAAAAATCAAGTGAATTGGGAGGGTCTGTCTTGGCAATGAACTTTTTGGTTCCATAAAAGGCACAATTTCTTGACTAGCTGAATGTACCATTTTCTCCACAAGTAGGACTCTGCTGCACTCCATGGAGTGAGTGAGGTAGTTAATGAGCGGTGGAAGCAGGGTAAAATTTCACCATCCAAACTTTGGCTAATGGACAAGCACATTTTTGCACTCAATCCTAAATATGCTGTTTAACGTGGTCATTGTGGGTGCTTAAATGTATGACTGTCCACTATTATGGGGCATTGTAAATACTGGAACATGTTTAAGTGTTTACATATAACATAGAATTCATTGTGTTTGATTTTATTTTATGTGCCCTTTTACTGAAATACGTCATCATAAAGAGTAAGGGACATCTGTAGTTGCAGTTTTAAAAATGGCATTGAAGATAAATATTGTATACTGACAGAGTAAATAATAAAAGAAAACTCTCAACTGAACCAGCTAAGTGATTCTAAGCTACAAGTCAGGTTACCAATTCTGCTCAATCCTTACATAATCAGATTTTAAGTATTAAATCTGTTTTTCTTGCTAATTAAATGACAGATAAAGTAAACTGATGAATTGTCTATTATTCACATAAATTTGGTAAACTAATGAAGAAATTTGAGTCATTAAAGGGACACAGATGAGCTCATTTCCTCAAGCCCAGAACTCCAGGCTGATCTCCATTCTGTGATGGTACTGATGCAACCAGGCGGGTTGAATTTATCTATGGGCTTTTAATGACTTAAATTACTTACATTCCTTCATTAGTTTACAAAATTTATGTAATAGACAAGTCATCAATTTACTTTTTTGTGTCATTTATTTAACAAGAAAAACAGATTTATTACTTAAAATCTGATTATGTAAGGGATGAGCAGAATTGGTGAATAAAGTAAAGTAAAGTTTGTCCCACTATACTCCATGTAGGCGTTTGGGGTGAGTGGAGGTATAGCTCCTCTCTTCCTTGACCTTGGCACTAGATGGGGGGCTTTACCCCCGGGAAGGGACCCCGGTACCCATTGTAGAGGAGGCTGGGTGGGCCCCAGAGCCGGTCTGGACGCAGAGGCTAGAGGAAAAATCCTCTGCCCCAGTCGGGGATCGAACCTCGGTCATCCAGCCCGTAGCTTGTTGTATGCAAGAAGCCCTGATTTAAAATATGAGTTCTTCCAGCATGTTTGAGACGGTGCAGATGGGCAAAGTTGTGTACCAAAACATAAGGAATTATAGACATGCTCCTATTGTTGTCAGTTTCACGACAAGTAGAAATGCCTGTAATTTAGAATGTTATGACTTGGATGCTGAATGTACCTTTAAAATAAATACATATCTTATTGCAGACAGTACAAGGCAACACAATATTTTGTTTATATTATTAACCATTTTGTTGGGAAGTTGATGTGTGCTAGGAAATATATTAAAAGAATTTATGAATTTTCATATCTTGGGCCTTACTGCAGTAGGTGTTAAGTGTTCAGATCTCATCTCACATATAAATTATTAGAAACAAAGAGATAAAGTGAAGATTAAGCTTATGCCAGGTTGACCTAACCCTTATTTCAAAACTTACTGGAGATGAATTAAGATGTTTTTGACACTTCTTGGCTGTGTGTATGTGTGATAAACTTAGTGATAATTTAACAGTTGCAGAAGTTACAATATATATTGCTCTACTGGACCATTATCAATATCCATTGCTCTTTCCATGGGTTTGAATTTGTTCTATGACAAAGCCTTTACTGTTCTTCGGTCATTCCGTAACCATTCCTCATGAATTTGTGTCCGGTCTTTACATATTCACTTTTCTATGTCTTCTCTCACTTGTTCTATGCACTTGTTTCTTGGTCTTCTCAATAGGTGTTTATTCATCATATTCATTTTTGGTGTCCTGAAAGGAATCATGTTGCCATATAAATATGCCATGTAAATATCATTGTATTCATAATTTGATTGACTGTTCTTAAGATTTTATGACATCCATACCCACATCCTTGTGGGAGAGAGACAGTGTCTGAAATAGGAAGCTGCTGGACAGGGTGAAGTAAAGTGAAAATACAGCTTATGGAACTACCACAGAGCTTGGAAGTCATGTCAGAAACCCTGATAAAGATGACTATGTTGTGTTAGACTGTGATAGAATTAGCACACCAACAGAATATAGCAAATTTCTTTGAAGAATCCATGGGAGTTCAGGAGGGGATTTCATTTCATACATGCCAGAGGTTGTGAAGGTCAAGAGCTCATGTTCTTGAGGTGAAAGTTGAGTGACAAGCTGTACCTTCCAGTTACCTAAATTGCTCATGGAAAGTACTCCCAGCAATATATGAAATTCTAGGTTTTCACAGTGGTGAAAATGTGGATTATTAACTTCTGATTAGTAACCATCTATGTACAATTAACCGGATGTCAGAACCCAGAAGACAAAAATCCACTCCCAGTACTGACTGGAAAAGAGAAATGTGATTCATCAGATCTTATTAAGGTGGGTGCAGTGAATCCCAAACCCAAATTATGGTCACCCACTCTGGAGCCATTTTATGAAAGACTCATATCTCTTTCCTGTATTTTTGTTTTGTGAATTATAAGACTTTTTCTTTATATCAGTTCCTTTTCTTTGGTGTTATTTTAAATTATATTTATATATAAGTGCATTTGATGTTTGAAACTAGAATCAAGAGTTATATAAATTAAACTGGAGTACGTTTTAGGAACTTGATAGTTCAAATGTTTAAAGCGGATGCATGTATTAAAAATTCCAACAAAGCTACTCCAGCTTTTAGTTATAATTATAAAATTGTACTCTAATGGCAACGTTCCATTGCCATGTCATGTTCCACACAACATTCGCTTTGGGCACACTACTGCTTTAAATCACAGTTGGATGCCACTAATTTCACTTCTGGTGCCTTGAAGTGTTTTACTGCACCACACAAAATTGTATTGTTGAGTAACAATGCGTACATTATTGCCACTTTTTTTCTCTTAGAGTCATTTAGAGTACTTGTACACTTTATCACTAGTTTCCAGAACAAGTTAAGTGAAGTGGTATACTTCTGTAAGGTATTCAACTGTAACAAGTATTGTAACAGAAAATAACAACACAAATGTTGTTTTCTGATACTACTTCTAGTCTCTGAAAAGTTGTGATATGTATAATTGACATCAACCACACAGACTTTTAAGGCATCCATGTTTCACTTCACTAGGTTTATGTTACAAGTTGTCTTCTGCTCTCAGTGTATAAAAGAGGCACTGAACACAAGAATGTAACAAAATAAACACAAGGTTTTCACAAGTCAGAAGGAAGAAGCATTCCTAAATATGGTCCACAGATAAATCTTCTGACTTTGTAATTCTTCACGTTCACTGCTTGCATAATATAAATATGTGGTACAGTCAATATTGCTGAGGAGATCAGACTCAGTTGAGGTTGGGAATCAGCTTCAAGTAGTATTTATAATGTAGGAGATCCAGTCCACTGTATGTGCCACTCTGTGGTATATACCAGGCTGGCCACGCTGTGCACACGAGTACCCAGCTGAGACTATTCCAATAAGATACCATCTTCCTACTTTCTCTGTCATGAGTGGACCTCCAGAGTCCCCCTGTGAACATGTATGGATATTTTTTCTTGCATTACTTAAATTACACTTTCTCAAGTATGTCATACAACCACACTGTTTATAAATATAGAATGCAGATTATGTCAGACAATTTATTTTTATAAAACATGGCCCATGAAGTGGATAAGGTATTTGCATTATACACTTTTGTATCTTATATGCACATGCATTTCAAGACTCTAAAATAATAAATCTAGAATTAAAGAATTTTAAGTGAGAAGTTAAGATGGTGTGCTAAAGATGAATGAATTATTTGTGGCATCCTGGAAGCTCTTTTAGGCCCTAGATGGGAAGAGAGTCCGTGATAATACCTGTTAAAATATTAAAAATACTGAGGGTAGAAAGAAGATATATGACCTCTCACCTGGCAGGAATCCTTACCACCTCCCCTGTAACCCGCGCACATCATCTCATCATAGATAATGACATTGATGCCATTGGACTTGTGCCAGCGTTCACACAGGCGGTTGTCTATCACTGGCACGTCCACAGCCTGCAGCGTCTTTGGACGAAGTCGAGAACCTGGAGACAAGTGGCACGGCATGAATTCATAACAATATCAAGTTGCTGTCCATATTCAGTTCTGCTCACTTGGAATTGGTCAAGTTAACTGTTTGTCTTCAAAAAATTTTTGTCAGTGGACCCTTAAATCCCATCTCTTCCAGTGTCAATTCCACTCCAAACACTGTAACTGATTTTCAGCACTGTCTAGCAGTTTTAATCAACATTCATATTTCACACAAGTGAGTTCAAAGCAGCTTTACTTTTATTATAGACCTCACTTTGTGGTGGTCAGCTTCAATTCCTGGCTGCTTAAATCCCAAGGAAACCACCCCCAGCACCAACTGAGTAGCTGAACAAAATGGCAAAGAAAAAATCCAGCCCCTGCTGGAAATGAGCCTTTGTATTCCATCCCACAGCTAGACCCTTTACTGGCTATATGTCTCTGTTAATTCACAGATTTTAAGGCATTTGCAAGTTTAATGATGTGATATGTAATCAATTATATACCATAAGTGTGGTCGGACATGCAAAGTTTTAGTTACTAAACAGTATTAAAATATGTCTGCTAGCTGTCATGTTGCAGTGGTTTACATTCTGTTAGCTTTGTATTAGATTGAGTAATCTTTTTATTCCTATCCTGACTGAGGCTTTTCATTGTTTTTTCTCTCAGTCCAGGCAAATACTGTTATAATAATACCTGTAATTACCACTTCCTTCGATATTCTTTCAATTCATAATTCTTCCATCATCCTGTTATTCAGTATTATACAGTCTGAACTGTGACAGCATTGTTCAATAAGCCAGAAATAAATAAAAATATTTATGTCTATACTTAACAAACCCACAGCAGGAAGCAAAGTAAAGAACAGATTCCATTCATTCATGCTCCACTAGTGATGAACTGTTTGATAACATACCTGCCTGCAGAGCTCCCCAGCCAGCTGCCCATCCATACTGCCCTAAGAAGTCCTCTCCTTTCTCAGGCAAGCAGATAGGTGCAATATGTGGCATGTACTGCACTGGCCGGTCCAGACGTAACACAGCCACATCAAAGCGGTCTGCCTGGGGTGTAAACTTGAAGTATGGGTGTACCCGAATCTCACGCACTCCAAATGTGTACGCAGGCAATGGTTCTACTGCGGAGTTGATGACATAGTCACCCAGTGTCACCTGAACCTGCCTTGCTGTTGCCCTATTATTGAACAGTACATAGGTGACGTGCTGTTTGGATAATTTTACCAGGTGTCAAATTGAAGTATCTGTAACTCTTTATTTAAGCAATATCCAAAATTGTAACATGCTGGAACAGTTCCTTCTCCTAAATTTTCTTCTTTTAGTAACATTTTCAACTTATTTTTAAGCACTGCACTAACAGTCATGTCGTTAAGTTATGCAATCAATCAGTGAATGGATGCAGTAATAATAACAATAATTTGTATGTCTTTCCCGATTATGTGAGTTGAACAAGATGATGCTACCACTATATCGTTTTCTTCAGACTGCTATACATGGGTTTCCATTCATGGACAAATGTTGTCCCTTCCCTATCAAGGATTTTGTGGAAAATTAGACCAAACACTGATACTGAGAATAGTATTGTTTGTGTGGTACCATCAGATGGGAAGCTTAGACATCTTTGGGAGCCATGTTCAGGAAGTGTGGGTAAAAATGTGAGACTGGAATAGTACTGTGGTGACAGTTCTAAGTTTGTACACAAATAAAATGTTGTATTTGCTTCATGCTGTTTGCTAATGTGAGATGATAAACAAAGTATTAAATATCAACAGAAACCGATAGACGAAAAACGCGAAATTATCGAAAAAGAACGACTATAGAGAAATCGCTCTGAAAGGAGCACGTTGCTCTAGTCTATAAAAACCTTGAAGTACATATGTAGTAGAGAAAGGAATTAAAACATTTAATCCTCAAATATAGGTCATGTGAGCTAAACAAGGCATGTTGGTGGACCACTTCTAGCCTACAGGTCTTAACATTGTGCACCATGTTTTATTGAGTAGTAGGACAGAAACACAGCAGTGATAACTCTAGTTTCTTTTTTTAAGCAAAAGGTATTCTTGCAGTGTTCTGAACATTTTACATAGTAGTCCCACCCATAACTCAAAGTATGCATTGTGTCCATAACAGTGAACAGATTAAGTACAGTGATTCAGAAAGTAAGTACTGCAGATGCTACTACCTTGCGACACAGTGTCCAGCTGTAACTACGTGGTAATGGTTGACGAGAGATCCACCACACCGACTGGTCCCAATTCGGATGTATGCCTAAGGAAAGAATTTGAGGGTGATGTACTTGTAATATATGTGAGGAACAGTAGGCGACTTGAAATGGCTACAACTTACCTGCCAAGGGAAGCTGCCAAATCCAGCCTCATCACCACCAACAATACGACGCTGAGCACCCAAGCTAGGGCCCAGTTTTCCAATAGCAATTCCACATCCTGCAATTTCAAAACACAATGCGTAACATTTTGTTATAACAAAACATTCAATAAATATACAGTTCATTGCATCTACTGGTAAGTTCTTATTGAGTTAGCTCAGAGGATGTGAGTTTGAAATAAGTTGAAGCTACACCAGAAGAAATACTCATACAGTGAAGTTTACTTGGTGATTCAACTCTCCATGATAGCATACCAGCGACAGGAGAAGGGCGAGCATAGTCAAAATTTCACTACAGAAGTTAGTCATTGTCATATGTTATGTGCAAGTTAAGTGCAGGGTCGTCTTGCATTTAACGTTGGTCTACTGCAGCAGAGCTTGAAGCTAAGGATGTTCTGTTGGTCGGAGTCATGTGTCTACAGTTGTCAGCTGTGATGTTATATGTACAACTTAATAGTCAGGCCGTTTTATGTATACTGTGGAGGTTTAATTTCTTCAGTAAAAACTATAATTTCTTACTGCACTGCTTCAAGTGGGGATATTTCTCAGCTACTACTGCATTGGATTGTGCCACAGTAAAATGTCGAAATCTGTTAAAGCACAGATGAATTATAATTTTGTGAGTGGATTCAGAAACATTCTATAAACCAAATTTACATTCATGTTATAAGCGGGGCACGTAGCATGCATGGGAATGAGATGAGCACACAAAATTTTGAATGGATGATACCACATGGAAGATCTGTGATTTTATGTACAGTGTAAAATACTTTATGTACAGTTCGATGTCATGTCTGTGCATTCTTTATGGATATATTTAGTTAATTTTTAGTGAGAATTTTTTAAATATTGTATCCATCTATTGATGTTTCAAAGTAATATCCATTACAACATATATTTTGTTAAGTTTGATAAATGTGTCCCATATGAACATTTCAGTAAATTGGAAGTATCACATTATGGAAACAAGGTAACAGGAGACAGGTAGTAAATAATAGGGAAGTGGTGATTGGAACTTGGTTGTTTGATGATCATTTGCTGTCATGGGGTTTGGGGTTTATGGGACAATATTTATGACTTTATGTCTTTACCAGTGTAGATTTTTCTGCCATTCTTGACTGGAAATTTACTGGTGGTTTATAAAGTATTGAAATTAATTAGTCAAAATACAGAAAACTTAAAATGTTACAGTGAAGGGTTGAAATGTGTTTGAATAGCCACACTGATTTTCATATTGTTTGCTACAAAGAAGTCATTCAAGACTTTCTACTACTGTGAGCTTTTGGTTTTGAGTAGTGATTGTTTTTCAAAATGTTAGGAGGTGTTAATTTTATACAAATCCGAAGTAATGTCATTCGAGTAGAAATATTAGTGCAAAGGTAAGCCACTACATAAGCTGAAAATCCCACCAATTTGGTAAAGGGACATTTTAATCCACAGTTATAAAGCATTTTGTGTGTTCTACATGAAGTCTGATCATGTGTCCTGAGGGCCAAATATCCATAGTAATATGTACATTATAAAAAAAGTGTTCTGCAATTTTGTCTGTTTTGTGTGAAGAGCATAATTACAGCAGCTATGGTTATGAGTCAGAATTTCACTTCTGCAGTTCTATGGCGATATGTACAGAATTTATTTCTTTTACACTTAACTCTGTCAATCTGCAAGCCAAACATTTTCAGGGCAAGTTTTATAATGTGAATATAGTGTCTCCAAGTCTATTGGGAGTTTATATATACAGTATCACACAGTTTATGAAGTTGTCTTCCCAGTCAGGCTACTTGTCAAGTGCATCGGGAGTCGAACCCGAGACCTACTTACTGGGGTCATTGGTCACAGGACCATAGTCCACAAGTAGGCTGTTTTCATCAAGCTCGCCCTTCTTGGCCGTGTCCTTGGCCGCCCGTCGCTGGCAGCAGGCATACAGGAGGCCCCCACATGACCCTTCCAGCAGTCCCGCAGACATCCAGCAGGAGAGGAAAAACTCGCATGTTCCCGTGGCACAAAGTGATTGGTCTCCTAGCAATGGAAACCCTTCCTGACCAGGCACTCTGCCCTCTGGAAATATCATAGTGTTATAAGCAGTGTTCAATACAAGGACTAGTTTAGTCTGCTAGAAAAGTGAGGTTAATTTTCACTCCTAATTGTAATTTTTAATGCATTTCTCATCTTCTCCATTCATGATGCATGCTCCACACATTTCATCCTCCTTGATTTGATCATCTAACAATATTCGGTGAAGAGTAAAAGTTATGTAGCTCCCTCATTACATAATTTTCTCCAGTCTCTTGTTGTTTTATATCTCTTGGGTCCAATTAGTTTCCTCCGACACCCTCAATCTCTGTTTTTCCCATAACACAACAGATGAAGTTCCATGCTCATATAGGACAAAAGGTGAAACAGTAGTGATGTTTATTTTAATATTTGCATGTGTAGTACAGGTTATTTTAATGTCATTTTAATTATGTATACTACACAGCCCGTCAAGCAGACTGAATACTTATATCAAGTTAAAAAAGGTGAAGTTGTCTGTTACTTATTAAGCTCCACACTCCTGGGTATAGGGCCCCCAGTAACCATTGGATAGGAAGCTGGGTTGGCCCCAGAGCCAGTGGGAATGCAGAGCTTAAGAGAAGAATATTTTGCCCCTGCTGGGGATCGAACCCCTGTTGTGGAGCCTATAGTCAGTCACTGTACTGAAAGAGCATACCTGGTGAGTCTTACCTCTGGGGACATCAGTGGTGAGGTCCTGAAGGCTGTTGGCTGCTTGCTGGCTGTAATATGGGGAGGAGGCATGGATGGTGCCAGGTATGTCTGGGTCCCGAAACACCAGTCTGGGGCTCCTCTGCCCCATATGGGGTACTCTTGTATAGTGACTCCCCACTGTAGAAGTTACCTGCAGACAATGAATGAATGCTCTGGATTGCATATATGGTTTACTTCAGACAGATTAGGCATGCGTATGTGGAACAGAACACATAAAGACATTTAAATATTACTGACGATGGATTGGCACAGTGTGTATAATTGTCCTTATAGAACTTACCTAGTCGCTAAGTGTTTTAAACCACAATGTGTTGAAATGTGGTTCTACTAATATCTTCCACTGACAAATAGGAAGTTGAAACTGTAATGTATTTGGCTCTTTTATTGTCCAGGGTTGAGACTAGCTTGGCCAAGAGACCCTACAGACTGGGCTATTGGCCTTCCACTGGTCACTTTAAGATGAAAGTTATTCAAACTTCTGATGGTTGTGATTCAGAACCCTAAGACATTGGTTAAGTTTAACAGAATAATAATACATACAAAGACATGTTTAAAGATGTCTATCTTCTGGGTTGTTGCACTGTACCTGATAATGTGGCTGTTTGTGTCTCACAGGAACCCACGAATTGTAGCCAGAGTGCTGGGAGGAGGCTGGTCGGGGGCTGTGAGTGTATGCCAGACGTCCTCCACCGCTCGATGATTCACCTCCAGACAGAGCCGGAAACCGGACATACCGCCTCCGGCGCCGTGATGCTGTCAAAGAACACAATGCATAGCACAGCAATTATGAACCCTGCAGGTAAAACATTCTTGTTTATCATTTATTAATTACCTGTTGTTTTGTATGGTGTGAAACTCGGTCTCTTACAGGAAGGAAGAACATAAATTGAGGGTGTTTCAGAATAAGTTGCCGAGGAGAATATTTGGACCCAAGAGGGTTAAGCGACAAGATGCTGGAGAAAACTACATGCCCGTTGCATTGACCAAGGTGGTCACCGGACCTTACTGTGTTAGATTTCCTTGTATGGGGTTACTTGAAAAACATGGTGTATGAATACAAAGTGAACAGAAGGGAGGAGCTGCTTCATTGAATTTTTGATGCTGAAAGATGCATGAATGACCCTGATGTCCCTCTTATGGTTTAGATAATCCTGTATATGAAATGTCCATATCTCTGTAACATTCAAGGATCGGGCCTGTGTTCATGCGATAATTCTGACCGAAAATGATATAATAATAAGATTCTGAGGAACAAACACAAGTCACCTGACATCTTGGATATATTTCAGTGTAGTAGCCTATACGCAATCCTGTTCTGGAACTCTATACGTTTTTTAAGATGGTACTCACCAAGGATTGCTAGGGATGTCGACATGTTGGCAGATCTATGACTCATGCTGGCGTTTGGCACTACTGAGAGGTGTTGTGCTGAGGTATTTTGTATAGTGGTGACCACGATCACAAATGCTAGACAGGTTGCAGCAGCTGCCCCTGCACAGTAGTATTGTGAGAGCATGCTGACTGGCTGTCTCCTCGCTGTAACCACTGTGTCTCTGAAAGCCACGAAAAATGTTGACCTTCATCCTCGATGGTGTGATGTGGGTTGGAACAGAGACAAAGGTTTATAGGAAGTGTTTTCACCTATCTGCCTTACATACGATGGTTTATATTTAACTGTGTGTCTGTTATTTGCTGCAAGAGGACAGCGCGATGCATATATGTACATTCACGGGCAAGAAAACGTGTTTATAATTTTTTTTTGCACATTCATGTTCGAGCATTTCAGGCAGGCCGTCAGTATCACACGCCTTCGTAAAACCTAACAAAGGTAAAGATTAGCTACCATATAACATGTTAAGGTTACTTGGAAATGTGATTACTCATCTGATGAATGAATTCGCCACTATATTCACGAACGCTGACGATTAAACGTATATCGAGCTACTTTAATCCAATCCATATATTTACGTCCACTTTATGAAGATCTGTTTTAATGATACCCTGCCACCAACATGCATCTGTTTCAGTTGATATTTCTCCTTAAGATTGTCTGGTTAAAACTGTAGAAATTTTCCATTTTAAGTGTTTGTTTGGATATTAAATAAAGCGACGTGACTCCCCTGCACCTCAACAAACAGCACCGCACTCATATCTTGTCGCGTGTTTTATGTCGTATGCAACAAACTTCGGAAGGATGGTGTGGAAATAGTAGAATAGACATCCAAATTTGTTTTATAGACATGCCTCGGCTGACATCTTATTGTGTTTGACTGCTATTGTCTTCAACAAACAGGCACTTAAGTGTTCTTTTTGTCAACACTGAAGTTCGGTTTCCTTTCCGGCCATTGTGTGCAGCAATATGTGGAACTGCATTATGAATCATCTCAGGCATAACAGGTATAAGAACCCGCGTTTCGGAGTCTTTGGAGGGTTTAATTCTATTATATTTTCATTGCTTTACATGCTTAACATACTTTAGTTGTGTTATCTCACTCGCTTCTTTAGTTCCTCACCTCTCTTACTGGATTCTTCCAGATCTACTGCGCGTCGTGTCTACAGCGGCCGTGTCTAAGAAGTTGAACTATACATTACACGAATTACCAGATAATGCGAAGTAGATCGGCGCTGTATTGCATCCTAAAATGTGCCACTTACGTTTCTTTCGTCACGGCCCTCCCGATATCTGTCACCTCCTAAATCAGAATACTTTCTCTGGCATTTTCGTCGCTTCGCGTAAATAAACATTACCGCGTGGACAACGGTCGGTCAGTGCTTTCACCTGGGCTGAATTCACCGCAGAGCTCATGGACCCGCCATCACAGCGATGCGCAGCTACAGAGATAAACAACGAATTAATCAGCCAACTAATTAAGTGACAGATGGGCTAACTAAAAATTAAACATCTAGATTACTAATCACCTAGATAACTAAGTGGGTGTAATTACGTGGGCAACTGGACAAAGAATTGTCTAGCCAACTAACTGGAACAAGATCTAAACTAGCAAACTTCGTATTTAAATAATTAGCTGGCAAACTAGTCCTAGATGGTTACAGCTTTCGAGCTCTTTGGTCAATACGGTAGTAAGTACGCTTGCTTTAAGTTCTTCATACAGAATACCATTTACAGAATGAAAACGTATTTTTATTTTTTAATCAAGGTTTTTGATTCACGTCGCCACCGAGAGTCACCACCGATCAGTTTTAATTCTTAACCAGCGTTTTTTATTCACGTTGCATCCAATCAGTTGTACCACGTTTCTTGCTCGCCTTGACCGTGTTTATTGTGCAGAACTAAACACATTGTACCACTGGCTCCATTTTGAATTCTCTTCAACGGTCTATCTCACAATCTACACTGTTTTTGATTAATCTCCACAACTAGTCTTCATTATGATATTCTCATGGATTTTCTCTCTTTTATCGCCTTGCTATTTGTAATAAAGGTGACTCTTGTTATACACGGGGGGTTGCGTTCCTGCGAATCATCGCGTATAACTAAAACCAACAAAACCAGAAACGTATAACAATTACCAAATTGATGTTAAACTGACTTCAGAGCTCTTCGATGCTTCTCTTATAATCTGCATCGCATTACCAGATGGCGCATTTAACAGGCTTTAAAATGTGGCGACGGATAGGATGCTGATGGTCCTCATAAAACAGTAATAAAACCGCGGTAGTAAGAAAATGCGGAGAGCGAAAGTGTTTATAACGAGTCACTGTTAATTAATCGTTTATACGGTTGACTGCTAATCCAGGTCGGAAAATCGCACTCATTTTATCTCTACAGATGTCGAATTTCTAACTGTCGAGGACATGACCGTCTTTGTTAACGCGACATGGACATGTTTGAATGTCAGGATGCAAGAAAAAGATTAGAGCGAATAAAATTAACTGGTTGTTTTTATTCATAAGTGTGTGAATGGCCGTTGCTTTGTGTAATTATCTCTGTTCCGAAGCGTGTTTGATGCGGATAATACTGAATCATCTGTCCACTGTGCATGTCAGTTGTAATCAGTAGTTTGTAGACAATAATTTGTTCAGGATGGTTTCTCTTGTGGAGGAAATGTCTGACGAGTAGAATCTTTGGTTGACTGGTGAACTGAGAAAATACGTCTTTGCCCCTTCCAATGAGGTATGGAAAATTGCAGAAAATGTATTTGAAAATGTAGGCTCCGTCAGAATATTCTTTTCGCTTGAGCTTATTGTTTGTCATTTCACTTTTTGACCAGTCATATTTATTTTTAATACAAACATATCTTCAGAAATTAATTAAAAGGCTGATACCGACTTCCATGGAGCAGAGTTGTTGAGAAGTCAACAGCCACTCGATAATCAAGAAATTTATCTCCTTCTATGAAACAAAAGGGTCTTGGTGAGATTTCAGGTTCTCACGGCTACAAGTATGAAATTCGCTGTCTTCAGGGACGTTTAACGATGATTGAGGTAGCAAGGACCTCTGAAACGCTGGTAAACTTCTACCAGACTGCATGGTACGACGTCCAAGAAGACAGCCATCTTCGTACTCATCGCTGTGAAAAACTGAAATTCTACCTCTCAAAAGACTGATAGCGTAATCGAAAACGACAGACGGATAAATAAGCGTGTTATGGATTGCTGGTAGTAAAGTGTAATTTGAAAAATTAATATGCAAATGGACGGAACATATTCAAATTATTTATGGAGATGTGAAATGGATTGATCTGGCTGTGTATATTTTCTTGTGGCGTTGTTTCTTTGTGGTGGCAATGAACCTTCTGTTTTTGTTGCTGCGTTTTGCTATTCAAGGTTGGTAGGCGTGCTGTGTGGCACGTGCCACTTAACACAACTTTCTCCGAGACGAAAGGAAACAGTGCCCTCAAGACAGACAAAGTAGCGCTGGCAGTCCGTATCACAGTGAATTGTATTAGAACTTACATAGAAACATCTGACTTTCGGATAGGATCGTTGCTAGGTCGCAAGGTCAACTGAAAATAGCAATTCTGCCTTCCAAACTCTGCTATTAAATCACAGCGTGAGGCTGGAGAAAGTTACATAATGAGGAGCTTCGTAATTTATACCCTTCATTAATATTACTAGGGCGATAAAAATGGAGTGGGGTTGGCTAAAAATGTAACACGCATTGGCAAGATGAGAAATGCATAATAAATTTTGATAGGGAACGTGGATTAGTGGGTAACATTACCGTGGTTCTTAAGGAAATGTGTGAGCGTGTGGTCTGCGTTGGATTGGATCAGGATGGGTCCAATGGCAGTTTCTTGTGAATGCGGCACTTAATCTCGGGGTTTCTTAAAAGACGGATAGTTTATTGCGAGGTTTGAGGTTCTAACGGCGATGAGGATGACGTTATTTTTCTGGGTTGTGACGCCTTGTAGAATCGTAGGTAGATACCAACGTTTTAGAGGAACACGCTGCCTCTATGTTATGTTTTGAATGTTCCTACCATCTTCAGAACTAAAGCTGCAGATCGGATGATTTCGTGACTACCAGAACTACCGTTAGTTTCTAAAGGACTCTTCATCATGGCAGCAGTTACTGACAGCAAATACTTGGTGTTTAAGTTTAATTTTGTATAATAGTTTGCTAGGGGTTGTTGAACGTTTTCTTTCATCTGCCCAGAACCGAGTCCATTGTTCCCACCCCTGCACCTGTTCGTATATAAAGTCATAAATCTGTAATTGCAAAAATTAGTCAATTAATCGGTCGACTTTTAAATTAATCACGATATTTTTAATATGTAGGCTTATACATATCTTACCTGTTAGGAATAAGCGTCATCGTTTGATTCGTCCACAGAAATTCAGTGCATCGGGGCTGGATCGAATCACATTAGGCACCTGTAACCAACAAGAACATTCAGAACTCCACTTTCCCTGAAAAGAGCCGAATGTTCACTGTCCTCTGTGACCGCAGGGAAACGAGCCCTCCTGCCCGTTGTGCCGAGCAATAGACGCGCTTGTCCTGGCGTAATCAGATTAGAACGCGAACGAGGATATTTCGAATATCAGGAGTGAATCCATTCTTTGTGAGACGAAACAAAACAAGTGGATTGAAAATAGTGGAAGGAAATAAACGAGTGCTAGAAAGAAGCTAAAATCCTAGGCTCGTACTCTGTTGGTGAACTGTGTATTGTGCTGACTTAGCTCTCAGATGCGTCTTCAGTACTTGGCATCCTCAGACTGATAGAACGAATTATGGAAACCGACATGTAAGGGGTGTACATAAATGTACAGGACGTCTGCTTTCTACGGCCACTCTTCATCTTACAGCGATTTGTTTCTGAGTGCGCTTCGAGAATCCTAAAAAGAATGATGATTACGAGCGACGTTTTGAATAGGCCGTTAGCGATTAAGAACTTTACACTTTAAAGCCCAGTGGCAACTATGTGTACCACATGCTTTAAAATCAACTAAGTCTGCATTTTCTCTCAGGAATTATTTATGGATTTATTATAATTCTTCTTAGTATAAACAGTGTTAACCAATTGATCTCTGTAATGGAGACGCGTTTTTTACGGTAGGTACAGCCATCTTTTGATTATTTATTCCAGATAAAAATCTATTGCTGTAAACCTAATCACACTACAGACATTGCGATGCATGGAGATAGAAATTATTTTTACTCCAGTTGAGAGTTTTAATAAGGCAGCTATGCAAGTCTTACATTTTATCCGTTGTTCCAGTTTTTGAAACGATGAGCCTTTTGTAGGGGGAAAATTAACGAAACTGGATATGAGTGCATGGTTACGGGATCATAAAAACTGAAATTTAATTAGCGGAACAGATTTTAATGTAGACACCCGTTGTCAAATGCCTCCAGTAACTCAGCTGCGACTTCTTTGTGGTGGCATTGGCACACTGATCTAGCAAGCAGCAAGGCCAATGCCACTTTCACTTTAACAGCAGAATCTGCGGTCCGCGACGTTTTCCACGTCTTATCACCAAATGACTTGTTTTTATTTTCTTCTGCTTGTTTTCGTTACATTCACTGTTTGGAATTTTGTCTCCGGGAGATTCTTTTCGTTTTAAAGTAAGTTACTTTCCTAGTAACTCGACTGCGACTTACAGTTTCCTTTAAACCCCTTTCTAGGGTTCAGAAGAGAGATTATGAGGGCAGCGATGGAATGATATTTTTACAGCTGACAAAGCTGTGCATTGACCTAGTTCCTGTACAATATGTGGCGGTCTTTTGTGAGGAACATATGCTGTGAATGAATCAGCTACGAAACATTGTAATGTCTGTGAGATTTCAGGTTTTCACGAGGATAGGATCTTTCAGCGTGTATCTGGTAGAAAGTGACCGACGTTTAAGAGGAGCTTACTGCCTCTATCATCAGGGCGATAATCGTTTTAATTACGATGTTATTTCAGGATTTCCCTGAACTCTTGTTATTATTGTTTAACTAACTAACTAACTAGATGGCTTACCGAACCCGAAGGTTCATCACCGAATTAACCAAAGCCCTCCACCGGACCCTGTCCTGGGCCAACAAAATCCAGTTTCCTTCAACTCCTATCTCCCATAGATCCCGCCTGAGATTATCCTCCCATCTACGTCTAGGTCTCCCCAGCGGTCTCTTCCCTTCAGGTTTCCCAACCAGTACCCGTTATTTTTAAAAAAACTTATATTTATTCTACTTGTATCCTCAGCATTCTTAACATGGCGCGTGCAGATGGAGACAGTTTCCAGATATAGAGGGTAGATGGAAAAACGTTGAACAGGCCTATAGAGTCGTGAACAGACGACATGGGATCGTCCACCAGTTAGTGAGGTGGGCGGGGGGCTAACAACTCCTCGCCCTATACAGAATGTCGTAAATAGTTTCGGATTTGGACAAATTATTGGAAATGTTATAAGGTGTTCGAGATAAAAATGCCGAAAAGAATATTTGGAATCTAAAGAGAAATTAGCAGGAGGGGGACATCCATTTTCTGGTTTTCTTGGTTTTGACACCGCGAAGTCTGGGCGGTGGTTATAAACGTTTCTGAGGAACATGCTGTCTCCATCCAGTGTTCATATAAGATGGGATCTCATATGGGGAGTTTAAAATTACGATGCTGGGTTGTCATTCAATTGTTTAACGTTCGAGCTAATTTTCTTGCAAAACGGTTGATTCAGAAGTGAAATATAGCATGTTGGTCTCATAAGCTTACTCTTTGCATCGAGGAAAGGAAAGTAGACTAACATTTTTCGTATAAAAATGTAGTATGCGTAATATACCTGCATGTCGTATTTCGCTTTCTTAGCCGCAATGGGTGCATATCTGCCAGGTGGTCTTGAAGAAATAGCGTCACGCCTTAGTATGTTTGCGCATTGTAGCGGTCCAAGATAATTTTTCGACAGATTTGCTATCCTTCATATCTTTTAGATTATTTAACGGGTGCGTCGTCTTCATTTAGAAATTATAAGCAAAGCCTAGTTATTTGTTCTGTCCGGGCGTGTTTTACGTCGATCGCTTCAAAGCGAACGTAATCTTATCTACGTCACAAGTGTTTTGCGTTTATACCGTGATGCAACCTTCACGCTCTTTGGATAGTTGTAAATCAATGGAATTTGAACGAAAAAGATGTAATCTATATAAAAACGTAACTGCTTATTAGTCGTGTGACATGCAGTGTAACTAGGCGTCTTGGAAAATCATGATATTAATTACGAAGGAGTTGTCATGAGAGTTCTCTTAACGACGGCCAGGTCATACTGTTGTTTTGCGAGCCGTCTTCAGTAACGCCCCACGATTGGAGGGAAGTAAGTTTCTGAGCGTTCTTAGAACAGAGATGAAGAAATGAACACACAATGGAGATATCACGGCGTATTTCGTTTCTGAAACGAAAGTAGG